GCTTGGATCACCTAATTATATCTTTGGTATTTATGATGGTCAAACAGCAAATAATGACACTCCATCTCAAGCTGTTCCAGGTAGTAATAAAATCACTGCTCTCTTTCGTGATTGGTTTGATACACACAAGTTACCTTGGAATAATACTGATTTTAGTGGTCGAAGTGATTACGGTCCCTTTTTAGCCGAAGGTATAGTTGCTGGTGGTCTATTTACTGGTGGTGACGATGTCAAAGATCAACAAACACGTGATTATATGGACCAAATGCTTGGTCAAGGAATGGGTGGCATTGCTGGTGCTGACTATGATCCATGTTATCATCAAGCTTGTGATTCGATTCAAAATATAAATGAATTTGCATTTGAGAAAATGGTGCAAGCAGCTGCTTATGCTTTAGAATATTTAGCTCGACAAGATAATCTAACTCAATGGCTTTATCCAAATGGTAAACCTATACGTTCTAATAATGAATCACCACAACGAAAATATGACTCTATAAATGAATATTTTGGCATGCCTTATTTATAGACTGAATTTTTTATTTTTGTCGTTCTTTTTTATTTCTAATAAATACTAATGGTTTAAATATACTGGATTATGAGTTCTGAACTGCCATTTAGTTTTTAAGAAAATCAACGGTATACAAAATATTATACCGATGTCTTATGTGTTGAGCAAAATTTTTTATCTATTATTCATCTATATAAGAACAAAGTCACTGAATAATTGGTACATATTTAGTTAAATAATTCTCTTCTTAATAAATCTATTTTTTATCCAAAATTTAAAACTTGACGTTTCGAACAACAATCTCGTTCTTCGTTAAAAGTGATGATATATTTTAGTATAGATATCTTATTTATATGTGTCTTTTCTTTTCTTTTCATACAATAGCGCGATGCGGGCGATATATATTTCACGTTATCGTACCAGAGTATTACCGTCTTGTCCATACCACTGTTAAATAAAAAGAAAAGAAAAGAAACATATATAAGTAAGATATCTATATTAAAATGTACCATCACTTCTAACGAAGAACGTGATTGTTGTTCGAAACGTCAAGTTTTAAATTTTCAATAAAGAATATATTTATTAGGAAGAGAATTATTCAACTAAATATGTCTACAACCTTCGTCAATCGAAAACAATAATTGGTACATACATTTCGATACGTTGCGAAATATTGTACGATTGAGAAAAAACACTTTTTAATTTTTAGAGATTTTCAGTATCGCATCTTGACTTAGTGTATTTAAAAAAAATCCATAAACATGAGCTTTTTCATATAGATAAGAAGCTTATTAAATTACTGGTTTACTTGAATATATTTAAACAATGTCAGATTATAAAACTGAATATTTTTCAATAAAATATCGTGGTTATCTAAAACGAGTAGCTAAAACGGCAGGATTTAATCTAAATGAAATTTAGTTTTAGTACTAACACACCGTTAAAGTTTTAAATGTACGACGACTAGAGAACATTGATAATCCTGTAAATATTTTATTATATAATATATAATACATTAATTTTGGCTTAAGTTGTAAAGAAGTTATGTACAGAATAATCCTGTGTGACGTTTTTGCACAACTTTGTTCTACTCTGTACGAGAAATGAACTTTCTCATCATTTTACAGTACTTTTAATTAACACGAACCTCACTACTTTTAGACGAAGTGATATACATATATCAACAGTATTTTATTATCGACTCGTTTGTTTAAAGCATACATTGGAAGAGTTTTTTGAAATAAAATCGAAATTTTTATAACAATTTGTAAATGAAAACTTTATAGTTTATAGATCATAGGTTAATATGTTTCGTATTATGGATTTTAAATATATAACAAATTCGACGTTAATAATTTTTTATTCAAAAAAAACTTTTGTTAATAAAAAAAATATATTTTCTCTTCTATGACAAATCTAAAAACCAATGTTGACGTGTCAAATCTAAACAATAGAAATAATTTTTTTCACTTATTCTAATATAAACAAATATAAACGATTTTAAATGAAACGAAAAGAAAAAAGTTCAATTGCTGCATAACTTGATTTTTAATTGTAGAAGTATTTATCAATATATTAACAAATAAAAAACTTGAGATTTTTTTGTGAAAGCTTTTTCATTAAGAAAAGGATAAAAATGAATTTTTTGTTTAATTTTAAGATTGTCGTATGTGTGCTTATCGATGAAAAATAAAAACAACACCAACATACACCCTCAATCCCACGAGAGACAATAAACTTACATAGAAAGAAACGTTTGTGTACGCCCAATCACGTCATATCTCTCTGCAAGCAGGTAATCGCCAATTGTATATCACTTCTCTTCTTTTTAATTCTTTGTTTCTTTTTTCCGAGCGAAAAGCAAGGTCATAAAGAGAAAAGTGGACGGATTCAGGGTGCGAGTGCGCTTGAATAGCCCCATCTTATACCCACACCCTCAAAAAGCCGCCATTTCAAAACACCCCTACTTCATTATTTTCACGTACACTTTTAAATCGATTCAATATGCCAAAAACATCTTCCAGAAAAATGAACATTTTCAAAATCTGCTTTATTTTTTATTTCGATTCGATGAACAATCAGACTATCCTTGGCTCCAACATCCAAAAAAATCCACCATTTCAAAACGTGATTTATTTTGTCTTTTTCAATCAACACTTTTTCAGCTGCTTATAATATCACTACTAATCTTCAACATCAGTAAAACAAACAAAGCTTAAAATTCCTATTTTTCTTTAGGATTTTTGGGCGGATTATAATCCACTCAAAAATCCTCGTGAAAAGTGCCCATTCTTGGAGAGCAACCAGTTTCATATTTACATGCAGGATTACTAATCCGATTTTAATCCGCTCAAAAGTCTTGGAGATGAAAATGTTGTTTTGATACGTAGCTGAGTTCTGTTGCGGGGAATGACTGGAGGATTACTTATCGGATTAGAGTTGGGGTTTCAATTCTCATCAATACTTAGGCTGCCTAGGTATAACTGTTTCTGTTGAAATTATATGTGTACAATTGAAGTATTTAGGCATAGTGACGAGGAGTCGGTTTTTTTGTGGCGGTAATGAATATCGGAATAAACGCGGAAATTGTCGAAACTGAATAGCTGGAAAATGTTTGGGAACCTATGGTTTTCTTTGGGGTTCCGAGTGTCAGATATTATAGGGAAAGTGTTGGATTTTTTTCTGAGTATTACCACAATTTTTCATTGGGGTATGATGGGAAACCAAGGGAAATTTTCCGGTGAATTCTGGTCTGGAATACTGCGTCAGGAAGTTGTCGGAAGATGTGGGAACCGATCAGTTCCGGGTCGGATTTTTTGACCTGGATTAATTGGGAGATTGAAAAAGCTGTTGAACCGTATTCAACTGAACAAGTTCGTTTTTAATATAAAAACCATATTCTAAAATAATAAATATTTGTTTTAGTTTATTAAATATTTAAAATTTACGTCACACAACTGTACTGCTGTATATGATGATGAATTAGTAATTATGGATCGAATGAAATTAAACATTTTATTTAAGTTAGTAAAGAAATTTTTCTTTTTTTTCTAGTGATATATTTTTTAATAGGTATCAGTGCAATAGTACAATAACGTCAATGTGTGTAAATCCAACAACATCTACAATTATAAATTGTGGTACAATTCAAGTAAGCTTAATTTTGTATAATTTCTTATTTAGTAATTTTATTCTAGAGTTATGTCGTGACTTTACAATTCAATGTAATTTCTGGTCAAAATTATGTCTCATTTAAAGATTTATTACGTACAAATAATGATTATAAGAATGACAAATGTGTTCATATAAGGGTGTGGGTGTAGGTGTGGGTATGTGTAACTGTGCGTTTGAATGATTATGTCTTACATCTACTACCACACCCACACACATGAAAGCTCGAATCCCCTTCTTTTATTTCTGTCTGAAATAATCTTAATCTAAAATGATATTTGTAGCAGTTCTCTCTTTATTTTCCTATATAATTCCCTCTGCTCTTTCTCCTAAATTTAACTGTAAGTTTTTTTATATGCATATTTTAGCTATACTTTTATCTTATGTTGTTTTTACAAACAAATAATTTCAATATTCGTTAATAAATGGAACAGACATTACTGTAGTTGTTTTACTTTATAATCAGCTTTATTGAAAACTTTTCAGAGCGACTGACTTAATCAGATTTTCTTTCATATTTCTCGCAAAACAAAAGCGAAAATTGCATTTGATTTCAATAGTATTGCAATATATAGGACGATATTTCGAGTTTTTCAAGGAGAAAACATTATCCTATATAGGTCCTATATTCTAATGAAAATCCTACAAAAAATAAGTTCTAAAATACAATTCCTACCTATATTTTGATGAGGAGCCGCTACGAGGCCTGATAGTTATTTTTAAATGAAAATATTAACAACAATAAAGTTATTTCCGTTAAAGAAAAACTTATTAAACTAAAATCTAACTTTACAATTGTTGGTTTATATTTCTATGATAATATTCTTATTAATAAAGCTAAAAATTTTTTTAAAAATTAATCAATTAAATATTATACTGTTAAATAAATAAACAATTTGGTTTGATATGGGAACATTTCAACCATGAAATAATGCTTCCAATTTCATATATTCAATCAAAAAACAAAATAAAGCGATCAAAACTGATTGTATTGAGCAAAGAGCATATTATAAAAAATTTATTGATCATCAATAATTATATGAATTAAGTCATTCTTTAATTATCGGTGATAATGGAATATATTTACAGGATATTATCAAAACAAGTAACACTCCTCCGAAGACTCGCTTAGCTCTTTCTCGTAGAAATGCATTTTCTTCACATTTACTGAAATCACAATTGAAAACCATGAAGAAAACTTTTCAATGTTTTTTTGACCCTGCGGACAGGCATCCAGACAATTTATGTTTGCAAGACTCTTCTCTACGAGAAAGAGAATAATTCCAATTCTTTTTCATTTTATATATACTGAGTAAAATTTAATAAGACTTAAATTAATTATTAGAAAACTCGCTATTATGAAATACAATGAAATATAAAAATATTCAAAATCACACTATTGTCATGAACAATCAAAAACAAAGCATTATGTTAATAACTATAAAAATTCTTATAGACTAAATATACTTGTTCAAGTTTTGTACTTTGTTTATTCTCATTAATGAAATAAAATATTTTTTCACTTAGATATTCAAATAATCTTAAGAATCCAATTTGACGTTCTGCTTTATCAAGTTTTGAATATTTATTTTTATCACAATATGCATATACATCCAACAAAACTTCATTTAAATTACAATTTCGTTTTTTACAATTTCCACTTAGAAAATAATCAACATCTTCAATGATTTCATCACTTATTTTCATAGAATTTCTAAAGAAAAAAATTATAAAATCTTTTACTCATTCAATCATTATATCTTCGGCACATCTAGAGATTTACTACTTTATCATATATGTTTAATAAGACCTATAAACAAAAAAAACTATTCTTACCGATTTGAAATGACAACATAGATAAAAAGACGTATATAATAAACAAACGCAAAATTTCTAAAGAAAGTTTGATAATCAGTTTCCCAAAAATCAGTATTATTATCATCATCATTATCATGCGATATATTATCTTCCATATTTAAATCAATAGAATAGGATTATTGTTCTCTATTCAATATTAATTGAGTATTTTGATTAATTGTTGATTTCGTTTGAATATGACTTAAAACAAAATGAAAAATAGTTGGTAAATTTTTTTGATCAATAAATAATGTAAAATCAGGTGATAATGGTCTTACATCATCAAATAACTCATAACCATAATAATATATTCTTAAATTATATTCTTTTGTAATATTAAACATTTTCCAAATATATTTTTTCAATTTTTTAATTGCTACATTTCGATTTAAATTTTTTATTCGAATTATTTTTCTTTGAAAAATATTTTTGAAATTCTTTTCACATATTCTTATATAAATATCTGAACTATAACATAAATTAGGTGGATTATAAAACTCTATTGACACTAAAAATTCTATCATATAAGACAGAAAAAGAAAATTTTTCTACATGTATATCATAATTCGGTGTGAATGTGGGTATCAATGAAGAATGCGATGCATATTCACACTCACGCTCTGTATGATATATATTTACTCATCGTCTAATATTTTTCATGCTCCTCAAATAAACACAATAGTTTCACAGTCACCTTTCACTTTTTCTTCAGACGATGAAACAAATAAAAAGGACATACTTATCATCTTTCGCTGAAGCGATGTCTCGACCAGCAACATAGTTATCTACAGAGACACATACTACGTAACAATCTTATTACATAGCAAAAATTTCCATTTGTCATATTTAAAAAAAATATTGTTATCATAGAAAACTAAACTAGAGTATTTACAGTGATATATAATATGTAATCATACTTCTAACTACATATGGAACTTAATAGAATATTGAAATATTGGTTTAATAATAGAAACTAAAGTGTCTTTTTGTTCACATCTCTCTAAAGATTATGAACCGTTTATCACAAAAACTGTATCACTAGTAGTAAACGTGATATTTTGGAACATGTTTTTTTTCTTGTCACCATTGCAATTCATATCATATGCATGAGATTGACGAGGCAAAATGATATCTCGATTGTCCTTTTCAGCAACTTCTCACATCTTTGTCCTTAAATACTGAAGTTTATTGTTATCATTGCTTGCACTTTCCTTTTTTTTGTTATCAATATCAACCAAAAAAAGAGATTATGAAATCTGGTGGCAAAATTCATCCTGATGACACTGGCAACGAAATAAAACCGGATAGAAGTATGAAATTAATCCTCGTTATTCTTCGAGTTGGAATATTACTTACGATTAGTATTCTTCGATTAGCTATAGATATCTTATAATAATTCTCTAAATATGTTATTAAGTGCTCCTAGTATCTCAAGAATTATTCAAGGTGAAGTCTTGTTTCTTTGTGTGGTGGTGAAGAAGTAAAACAAGATTATATATCATGAAAAAACAATGAGGATTGAATGAAAGAAGTACGATCTATTAAATTTTTGACGTATAAGAATCGAACGATATAATAGTTTTTCAATTTATTCATCTATATTTCAGTGAACGCCTACAAACATGTATCAATCTTATGATCACCAAATAGAAAATTATCAGAAGTTACATTCTACATCAATAAATTTAACATTCATTTTTATTTTTTATTCTGACATATATTGCTATCCTTCTTATAATATTAAATCATAGTTAGATTAATAAATTCAAAATGAGATGTCGTTTTTTTAACGATATTGTTTTATAGTTATTACCATAAATTTAATAGCCAAGGTTAGATAACATTAGCAGTTTCGTCATTCTTTATTCTAATCGTTCTTTATAAATGATCGACAACTGTTATTTTATTTCCCATTTTTAGTTTTTGAACCACTATCCATGGAGAACAGTAGGAATGAACACAAAATGCTTAAGTTTATGAAAATTTTGGTACCAGTTGTTGGTGTTGGAATAGTACTAACAGCCGTTGTATTGGCTTTAAGTATAGTTACTTTAGTTAAGGTGAATAAAGGGTTTGATGATATTCAAAGCGATAATATTGAGGCAACCAATCCGACAAATCCAACAACTGGGCCAACAACAGCCGCAACAATAGCAGACACAACAACAACAACAACAACAACAACAACAACAACAACAGCAACAACAACCACAGGCCAACCGTTACCAAATTCAATCTTGGCATCATCTATACGTATTGAAGATGTAATGCATCATCTTGATGACTTACAAACTATAGCAACTAATGCAGATGGTAATCGAGCCATTCATACACGTGGTTTTAATGAAACACTTGATTACATTTATAATGTTCTCACACTTAATACAAATTATAATATTACACAAAGATTTTTTCCAGTGAGAGACAGTACCCTTGCCAGTAATCCAGTTTTACTGATTTCAATTAATGATGCTATACAGAACTATACATACTCAACCAATCTAGCAATAGCTGATTTTACTGTAGCAAGATTCTCAACATCACTAGATTTAACAGATTATGTTGCCATTACTGTTATTCCTAATCTGGGTTGTGATGACACAGATTGGGAAAATAATAATATGTCAGTGGCTGGACAAGTAGCATTAGTTAAACGAGGTAATTGCACGTTTGTTAAAAAAGCCCAACAAGCGTCAAAATACAATGTTACTGCTCTTTTCATATATAATGATGGTGCACCTGGTAATGTAAGACCTATGTCTATTAGTGTTGGTGAGGCAAATGAAATACCAGTACTCTCTCTTTCTTATAATCTTGGTCAGGAACTTGCTGATGCTGTTCAAGATCCAGCAAACAACGTCACAGCACTTATCAATATTAATCTACTCAACGACAAGCCATTACCAGTAGTAAATATTTGTGCTGATACACCTTCCGGTGATCCTGCTCAAACTATTGTTATTGGAAGTCATAGTGACAGTGTACCTGCTGGTCCTGGTATTAATGATAATGGTAAGTTATTCACATTAAATTATCTATATATCTTATTTATCTTTCAGGTAGTGGTAGTGCAGCTAATCTTGGTCTTGCTATAGCTTTAGCTCGACTATTTCAAACATCTACATATCCTCCATTTAAATATCGTATTCGATTTTGCTGGTGGGGTGCTGAAGAAGTTGGACTTCTTGGTTCCAATTTTCATGTCAGACAAGCAAAGAATGCCACAACTGTTGGTGAGCGACTTCAAGATTATTTAATTAATCTTAACTATGATATGCTTGGATCACCTAATTATATCTTTGGTATTTATGATGGTCAAACAG